GCAAACGCACCCGCTGGGTAAATTAAGGCTTAACTACACCCTAAATTAGGGTTTAGTTAAACCTTAAATTAGGGTTTAGTTAAACATTAATCTAGTGCTCAGCCAAGCCATAATTCAGGGTTTAACTTAGCTCTACTTTGAGGCTCAGCTAAACCCTAACTTAGGGTTTAGCTGAACCGCAATGTAAGGTTCAACTAAAAACTGCTATAGGGTTTAGCTAATCCTTGAATTAAGGTTTAGCTAAACCCTAAATCAGGGTTTAATTAAACCCTGAATTGGGTTCATTTAGACCTTAAATTAAGGTTTCACGAAACCCTAAATTAGGGATTGACTAAACCCTAAATTTTGGTTTTGTTAAACCCATTAGGGTTTCACCAAACCCTAAATTAGGGGTTAATTAAACCCTAAATTAGGGTTTAACCATGTGAAATCGCACTCGTCAGGTCGCGACTGCTGGAAGCTCCTTGCCCCGATGCTCCCAGGCTCAAAGGGAGGGACAGGGTAGAGGTGCCTTGAAGCCATACCGATCGACACTGCGGGGCGGTGGAGAAAAGCTGAACGTGGGACGTTCTTTCTGGGAACGACACAGGGTGTCCGTTCGTTATCTTGAGATTATCACTTCTGGAACAGGGGTTTCCAAGATTTATCTTCAGATATTCCATCAGGTTTGGGAAACCTTCGAAGTCTTCTTCAGAGCTGCCAGTGTGGGAGAGGCCGGGATCTCTTTCACACTGGTAGCGGAGCCTACAGCTTCGCTACCGCCAACAGGGTTGACGGACACTGCGGAAAAGCGGAGATCCAAGGGCCATGCCTTCTTCTCCAGCAGAAGCTTCTACTGGAGGAGATGACAAGACCAATCTCCCGCGGAATGCCATACCTCGTTTCGTCCCGGGGACCACGGACGTGACCGAGTATGGAAAGACGTTGGAGTTCCTGGCCTCGATCTGGCCTGAGGAACACGTTCGCGCACTTGCTCCTCGAGTTGCTCTCCTTTGTGAAGGAACCGCGTTCAAGAAGATAGCACGCCTGAGTCCTGACAAACTCAAGGCTTCGGATACATCAGGTGTAAAGCTGATGTTGACAACCCTGGGTGGAGCCTGGGGACAAACTGTCCTGGAGGCAAAGTATGAGCAGTTTGAGAAGGCAATCTATGGCACAAGCCAGCGCAATGACGAGACAAATGACAGCTACCTGGCTCGTCAGGATGTGCATTTTGAGGAGCTCCTCACCCAGAAGGTGACGTTGGAGAAGATCCGTGCCTATATTCTTTGGAGACAGTTACAGCTTTCTTCGGAGGATACTAAGAAGATAGTGATTGAGCACGGTGGCAAGCTTGACTATGACAATGTCTGCAAGTCCATTAGAATGTTGGGCTCGCGATTCTTCGGAGAGTTTCTTCAAGGAAAACCAGGATTGACTCGCAACCGCATCTACGACGTCAACTTCGCTGAGGATGAGAACACGACCATCGAAGAGTCTTCTGGAGAGCGAGCCTTTGCAGCTCAGGCTTCCAGCTCTACGGACGAGGGGGATCTTGATCTTGATCAGGAGTTTGTTGACGCCCTGGTCGCTGCTGAAGATGCAGATGCCCTCCAGGTCTCATCCTTTGAATCCGAGCTAGAGAGTTTTTCCAGGAGACTCCAGAGCTGCAGCAGGCCCTAGTGTCCTACCTAGAGGCCAGAAATCGCCTTCGCGACAAACAGCGAAATCGTGGCTTTTGGCCAACAGGAAACAGCAAAGGGAAAGGCGGCCGCAAGGGCTTTGGCAAGGGCAAATCCAAGAGCCGCCGTGATCGTGAGCAGCTCCTTCATCGGATTGCTCGCTCTACTTGTAGAGCTTGCGGTGAGAAAGGACATTGGCGCGCAGAGTGTCCTAACAAAGGTGCCAAAGATCGCGAGAATCCAGCTGGGGTTGCTCAGGTGGAAAATGATCAGACCTCCGAGGTCTATGAAGATGTCCCTGAGGCAGCTTCTTTGGCATCGTGGACGGAGGAGTGTGCCTTCTTTGGGATAGGGTCACAGGGAGTTCAGGGTCAAGGGGTTCCGGTTTCTTCGGGTTTGTTTCGTAGACATTTCCGGGTAGCTCAGGCCAACATGGAACAATTCATGCGCCGTTTGAAGCAAGCTACACCTGCGGTGAACTTCCCTACCCCTGCCCTAAAGCCTGAACCCATGTCAGACACAGCCCTTAACCCTAAGTATGTTCATCCCAAAGGGCCACCCCAATCAACCTCACGTAGGACATGAACCCAGATGCGTCGGAGCCCCAGTGAGCGATCTCGGCTCAGCAACAGCTGTTCCAATACCGAAACAATTCCCCAAGGATCCCTAACCCTTAGCATGGTTGAGGAGGCTAAACCAATTACGGCTATACTAGATACCGGGGCCTCACGGTGTGTTTTGGGAAGCAGCCTTGTTGCTCGCCTCCTGAGCCAGATTCCTTCAGCTGACCGTCAAGCTGAGAAAGAAATGCCATCATCAGTCCGTTTCAGGTTTGGCAACAACTCCACCCTGACAAGTCAGCGGAAGATACTACTCCACATATGAGCCCCGAACAATAGCCTTATATGGTTTGGAGTTGAGGTTGTACCGGGGAAAACTCCATTCCTATTGTCCAAGCGTGCCATGAAGAGTTTAGGTGGAGTGATCGATACTCGCATGTGCTCCTCGTCAGACAAAGCCGAAAATGCCATGCTAGCACATCCTCTCGTAGATCCCTCCCGAGCCCAATTGCAAGTCCCCGGGGACAGTGATGAGGTAGGACTTACCGTTGTTAAGTCAATATCACTTAATTCAAAGACCAACGATTACCCCGAAGACCGAGGTAAAGTTAACGAATGTAAGGGACCCAAGGTTGTACAGAATATCCCCAATCCCCGAGCATGATTCAGGAGAAAGCATACGTCCCTTGATACCCAAGCCTGTTGATCAAATCGCGCGTCAGCCCGCGCTGTGCCAAGTGAACACATCCCTGTGCAGCAGAGATGCCTCCAGCCAACATGGTGACACAATTCCAGGAGATAGCCACTCAGATTCTGGGATTGCTAACGCATCTCATCAAGGTCCTATTCCTTCTCATCCAAGTGGGCGATTTCGAGAATTGTTCATCATTGGTGTCGGAGCTCAATGCCGAGCTTCAGCGCCAACGCGACATGCTGCAGTCATTGACGGCCAGGGTCGAGGATCATCTGCATCGAGGTCCCTCAAATCGTTCTCCCAATCGCAAGGAAAAGGGAGGAAGTTCCAGCGCCCAACAGGATGGTCATTCGAATTCAGAAGCCAGCCGAACTCTGCCAGCTCGTCGTCTCATGGATGTTCCCTTCGACGATCTGACCTCCCTGGATCTTCAGGTATGGGGCAAGGATGTGATCACATGGGGAACAAAACACAAGAATGCTCAATTCGACGAAGTAAATCGCCTCGACTGGCAGTATTATCAGTGGATACGCGATCGAAGTTGGCCCGAGGGTTCCAACCAGCGCAGTTTCATTCGTTATTGCCAAGCCATGATCCATCACAGTGGAAGCACAGCAGCCGATTCCATTTAGAGAATCAAGCCTTGACAAATGCCAGTGATCAGGTACTGAATCAACTACATGCACTTCAATTGGCTCTGCCCAAACCAGATGACCCTAATTTCCCTAACCCGTGCCCTCCTGTAAGCCCTGAAACGGCATGTGTAGAGACTGAGGTTCCTGAGACGAAAATCTCAAGCAAAAGCCCCAATGAAATCCCGAGGTTTAGTCCGTTTATAAAGCCTAGGTCGGTATACGAGAGATTTCGCCACAGGAACCGTCAGTTGTCTACGTTGGCCGCTGCCACTGACAGGTCCATAGATGAGCTCCTCTCCTTACAAAACCCCGAAGAACTTAGATATCTAGAGATTTTCTGCTACCCTCGTAGTCGCCTAACTAGTTCCCTTCAAGACTTGGGATGTAAGGCAGCCCGCTTCACTGTGCAGGACGGGAATCTTCGGACTTCAGAGGGTCGTGCTAAACTGTGGCAAGTCATTCATCAGGTTCAGCCAGATCATATATGGATGGCCCCCGAATGCAAGTTTTGGGGTTCTTTCAGTAAGCTCAATGCGAGTCGTAGTAGAACTTCTGGCCACCATCTGCAGGCAGAGAGTCAGCTTGAAAGAGAGAGATTCTCACCTTGTGTCAGGATGTCTGTAGGCATCAAGTAGATAGAGGACGTCATTCTTCCATAGAGCAACCAGGATCGTCCCAACTTTGGAAACAGCCCGAGGTGGCGCAACTTGTCAGTCAAACGGCGTCAGTCTCCTTTGACCTGTGCCGATTTAATCTTAAGCTACCGGGATCCCCCAACAAGATTAGGAAGACCACTACGGTTCGGACTACATCCCAAACAATTCTTGATAGCCCGGTAAGTAAGCGATGCGACCAGACACACCGGCATGATTGGATAGAGGGCTCTTTTCAGAAATCGCCACGGTAGCCGCCAAGGGGTTTCTAAGTTCGCAGGGTCTTACTGCATCGGATTTGCAAAACACATAGCTAAGTCCATGAATGTGTTCCCACACCAATTTGTAGAAAACCTTGCCCTGGTTGCCTCTGAAGCCCCTACACACCGGAAACGTCAGAAGACCTCAATGGGAGCGGTACCTGTGGTGTTGGCACCTTCCCGCAAGCGCGAGTCTGAGGCTGAGCTTGGAAATCGATCGCGCCGTACCCGATTGGATGAATCTTCAAATGTTCTTTATAAGGTCCCTGCGGAGTATATCCTACTAAATTTCCCCCAAACCGAAGATGCATCTGATGTGTGGCACCGAATCTTTGCCGAAGCCGCTCGCCACAAGCCCCGTAGAAGAACCGCCAGAATCGACCTTCAGGAACAGGTCATCAGCACCCTTCAAGAACAGCTGCGACATCGTGTTCCGAAAGCTGTGTATTTGACATTGGACACAGATCGTCTTCAGGTTCCCCTAACTGCCCCTGCTGTGGCCGAAGCACCATGGCGCCTTTCAGTGGGCCAGGAATGTAGCACTTCTGAGTTGTTCTGGCTCCCTCCTGAGAACAGAAGCCAGGGGTCCTTTGTTAGAAAGGCCAGATGCCCGCGGGCATCATTTCTCATAACCATCTTTGCAGCTGAACTTCCCGTGCCAAGACCTGGAGCAGAGAACTCAGCAATAGTCGGCAATCCTCCTAACTTGGCTGCCTCTTCGGATGGCGCCGTTAGAGATGACTCAGGGCGATTGGCTGCACCTAGCGCCGCCCCTGGGCCCGTCGATGATATTCCCCAAGGTTGGGCTCCCCCACCAATTGCTCTTCATGATCCCAACTGTCGTAACCTCACTCCCCAAGAGCGTGCTGACCTAGTTCGTCTGCATAAGAATTTGGGTCATCCTAGTCCAGAGCGTTTAGCAGCGCACCCACAAGCTCAAAATGCTTCCCCGCACATCATCGTCGGATGCCGTGACTTCGTCTGCGACACCTGTGCTGAATCTGTGCAAGTGCGCCATCAGAGACCAGCTCAACTTCACGATGACATGATTTTAATCGCAGGGTTGGACTAGATGGTTTTTTCTTCAATAGCCGGTCAGGGTTCCAAGTCTATTTTGTTCACTGTATAGACGAGTCATCGTGTTTCCACGCCGGTCACCGTGCCCCAGACAGATCTGGGAAGGAAGTCCTCTGTATCTTTCGGGATCATTGGACTGCGTGGGCTGGAAGTCCTTCTGAAATCTCCCTGGACCCTGCTGGTGAGCTGCGCTCTAATGACCTAATTCACCGCCTACAGGAACAGAACATTCGAAATTTCATCACTGCGGAAGCATGGCAAAGAGGCCGCATAGAGCGGCACGGGGGCGTTCTTAAGGAAATGCTAGTACGACTAGATACAGATCAGGATATCGAAGCTGTAGAGGGATTCGATCAATGCCTTGCGCTGTGTCTCCAAGCCAAAAATGCTCTCGTTCGGCATCGGGGATTCTCTCCCGAACAGCTAGTGCTAGGCAAGGCTACGCAACTACCTGCCTCACTCACCAGTGATGAGAATTTGAGTGCCCATGCAGCTGCAGCTGGAGAAGGTCAAGAATGTGACCAATTCCGAGCCAGCCTCGAGAAGCGAGCACAGGCTGGCCGTGCATTCTTCCTTGCAGATAATGACGCTGCCATGCGTAGGGCGTTGTTGAGGCAGTCTCGGCTGGTACGGGGTCCATATGCTGCAGGGTCAAGACGTCCTATATTGGATCAAAAAGAGCTCGCCCAACCGGGCAGCAGCTGGAAAATGTTAGAGTAATCGCGGTAGAGGGTTCCTCCGTGGTCTGGGTGTCACACGGCACACGCGTCCTCAGGTGTCCCCCGGAGTTTGTCCGTCCTGCATCACTGTGTGAATGGAACAGCATGAATCAGTCAGCTGTGTCAGCAGATCGTATTCCACAACCTTCCGGTGCTCTCCCCTCCGAAATTAGAGGGGGTGCCAACTCATACCTCTATCTGTCGCAACACGAGCCCCCTCCTGAAGTAAGGAATTCCTCTGCTGCTCCTGCCCCTGCGCCTGTGGAATTCGATTCAGCTGACTTGAGAGGATACTCTCCTAGCCCTGATCAAACACAAGAGGTTGCACAGCCCCCTCCCAGGTTGGATGACGGTTCTGTAGCTGCCCCTAATGACGAAACTAGGGTTGATCGTCAGGCCTCCCAGAGCGAGTCTTCTCAGGCCGAACAAGACATGCTCCCGGCAGTCCCAACACATGTGCTGCAGCCAGAAGCTGCACCTCCTCCCGTAGTACCCACTCTACCAGTAGATCCTGTCAATATACCCGCTCCAACAGATGAATCTGATCTCCTAGCACAGGAGTTTCCCTCTACAGCCTTCACGGCATTAGTTGACGAACATGAGGAATCAGCTCTTCTGCCTTGTACGGCCCTACCTGCTGATCCAGCGTACCCTGACCTATGTACCTTTGAAACCCTCAATGTAGCTCCCGGGGAAATATCTGCCCTCTTAGCCGAAGATGGACTCCCATGGGTGCAAGATCCACTTACGCCTACTGAAGGATACGCCGTCTGTGTTGAGATCCCCCTTAAGGAAAAAGATTTTGGCAAAAAAACATGTCATATGTTGCCTCAGTGGGTCGCAAAGCTCGTGCCGAAGTTAAACTTAAGGAGCTCACCCCCGCAGAAGCTGCCCTTTTCAAGGAAGCTAAAGACAAAGAACTCACCTCCTGGGTTCAAACAAATGCTGTTCGACGAATCTTGCGTAGCCGTCTCAACCCATAGCAGA